GGTCCAAGTAAAGCTTGCAGAGAAGTTTTTTTGACCGATTTGCAAAGATAATGTTGAGGATGCTGCTGGGAAAGCTTGTTCATGACAATTACCAAAACGATACCTTAAGCACAAGTAAGACTCAGAAATAAACTAAACCCTACATAAGACACTGCAGCTTAGATATTATGTTAAAATTCATCTTCCACACCTCATAAAATAATTATCTTAGATTTCCTTCTTTTTTAAATACTTTGATTGACGTAATATCTCTTAATTTAATAAATCATTAACTAATTAATTATCAATAGTTATTGTTGGTGTTATAGTTTTTATAGGTTTAAAGTGATTTCATTTTTTATATTGTATGTTATGTCATAATACATATGACATATATTACATTATTACGTGTGAATATAAGATGTGTCGCATTATTATTTATATATACATAATATGTATCATGTTATCATCTTAGAATATTAAGAACAAATGGTGATTGTTAATCAACTATGATTTAGTATTTCACTGTAATTAAAAAATTGGATTAAATAATTAAAAAAATAAGACTAAAATAATTATTGAGTTGAATGTTGGAATTATTTTTTATCATTACTGTAAACAAAGATACAAGGAGACAAAGCGAGAAGCCAAGAAAACAGTGGCTAAAGCAAAGGATAAGGCATACGAGGTAATGTACAAGAAATTAGACACCAAGGAAGGACAAAACGGAATCTTCAGGCTTGCAAAATCCAGGGAAAATAGGAAAAATGATCTAGGTAGCATTAGGTTTATTAAGGACAACAATGGTGTTCTTTTAGTGAAAGATCATGATATTAAAAGGGTTTGGGTAGTTACTTCTTTGGATTATTTAATGACGGTGCCCCTCCCTGTATAGATATGACCGTTGATGGGTCAGACGACCATCATACTACGGGCAATGACTGCCCTACAAGTAGGATTGGGTTTGAGGAAGTCAAAATGGCCCTTAGAAAGATTTGGAGGGAAAAAGCTCTCGGTCCAGATCAAATTCCTATCACTGTGTGGTTGGCCCTAGGAGAAGAGGGAGTTAAGTGGTTGACCAATATCTTTAATATTATTTTAGAGACTGCCAAGATGTCAGAGGACTGGAGAGAGTCTACGGTGATACCAATCTATAAGAATAAAGGAGATCCCCAACGATGTGGCAACTACAGAGGTATTAAACTACTAAGCCATACCATGAAGCTATGGGAAAGGGTGATAGAGGCTATGTTGAGAAAGGTTACTAGGGTTTCGGAAAACCAATTTGGTTTTATGCCAGGTAGGTCTACTACGGAGGTGATTCATCTACTTCGACGCCTTATGGAGAAATATAGGGAAAAAAGAGAGATCTTCACATGGTGTTTATTGACCTTGACAGGCATATGATAGCGTTCCACGCGATACGATCTGGAAGACCTTGGAAACGAGATGGATCCCAACTGCTTATATCCGGGTGATTCATGATATGTACAGTAGATCTACTACTTACGTCAGGACTGCAATTGGCGACACCAAGGCATTCCCGGTGGAAATCGGACTCCACCAGGGGTCGGCTCTTAGCCCTTACATCTTCGCCTTGATTATAGACGACATCTTTTGTGCGACACCAGACGGTGTTCCATGGTGTATGCTTTTCGCTGATGACATTGTCCTAGTTTTTGAAACAAAAACTGAGCTGAATAGTAGATTGGCTACCTGGAAGACTGCTTTGGAAGAAAAATGTCTAAGGATCAATATTGAAAAGACAGAGTATTTATGTTCAAAGTTTAGTGGGAACCAAAACGACGAAGATTTAGAAGTATGCATAGAAGGACACGTTCTCCCCTCAAAAGATTGTTTCAAGTATCTAGGGTTTATGATACATAAAGATGAGGGTGTAGATGATGGCGTTACACACCGTATAAAGGCGGGATGGATAAAGTAGAGGGCTGCTACTGGCGTTTTGTGTGATAAAAAGGTGCCTCTAAAACTTAAGGGAAAAATTTATAGAATGGCAATAAGACCAGCGCTGTTGTATGGATCAGAATGTTGGGCAATCAAGAAGGATCATGTAAGGAGGATGGTGGCCGCATAAATGAGAATGCTACGATGGGCATGTGGTAGGACTCTGTGGGACATGACACCAAACTCTGCCATTAGGATGTCATTGGGGGTGGTGTTTGTATCCGAAAAATTAAGGGAGGGAAGACTATGGTGGTTTGGACATGTCCTTAGGCGACAACCGTCGGATGCGGTCAGGAGGGTAGAGTCGATTACAGTCGACGGTGCCAGAAAGAGAGGACGACCAAGGCAGAAGTGGGAAGACTGCTTGAGATCTGATTTGAAGGATTTATCCCTTACCGAGGACATGACCTCTGATAGGAAAGTATGGAGACTTAAGACCAGGGTAGCCGAGTAGTGCGGGTCTCAGCCATAGGGTGTAACATCTCTGTCTTCTTTTTAAAGCCTTTGTAGTAATTTCCATGACTTCTACTTCATATACGTTTCTGTCAATGGAATTTATGAAGCCTTTGAACGAGGGTAGACAGTAGTGTTGCCTTAGTTTAGATGTTAACCCATTTGATTTTATTCCTTCTCGTAGCTTGCTATCGTTGATTACTGTGTATCCTTCTCTTCAGGTTTCCTCTTTTTAACTTTAGCCGGGTCTTACGTTTTCTGTATATATACAGAGATTTTTACGCAGAGATTTATTTGCAGGGATTACTTCCCATTACAGACGCGCATATGAAGACTGTTCAACTATGTATTTATTTATTTATTACATGCATTGCATTTTATCTTTATTTTTAACTTTCTGACTGTCGGGAGATCTTTTACGGAAACTGCTCTCAACCTGACGTTGGGGGCAGCCTATTACCCTATCTCCGCTTACCCCGTTACATATGAAAATAGGTATTGTTATTGTTTTGTATTGGATAAGGATGATAAGCGGTAAGGTAATTAGTTAGTAGGGGAAGGGAAAAGAGAGAGCTTAGCTATAAAGAAAGAACAGATTAGGTGATGAACAGTGAACCGCAATCCCCTCAAAATCCCACGAGCTTGACCAAACATCTTCTTACAACAAAAGGGGCGAATCCACTATGTTTTCAATGGTCAAACTTCCATTAAACTTCCCAGAAACTCCCCCCCCCCCCCGAGAAAATAAAAATCTAAGAAGAAGAGGAGAAAGAGTGACTTGTATGTATGATTCGTGAGCGGTGAGCCGTGACCATATTCTCTTCTTCCCCGCCCCTCCTTATATCAGTCTCCACCTCTCTATCTTCACATAAATTCTCTCTTTTTTTCCACCTCTGTTAATGGCTTCTTCTTACACCAGCCTTGATACCTACGCCATTTCTCACTCTCAAAACGCCTTTAGTTTCTCCCCTCATACCTTCATGACCACCTCTTTCTCCGATCTCCGATCTACCGGCACCACCACCGAAGACGATAACCCTTCTTCCACCGCCTTCAAGCGTGGAGGCAGCTTGTCCTTGTCCGATCGGATTGCCGAGAGAACCGGCTCCGGTATCCCCAAGTTCCAATCTCTTCCTCCTCCTTCACTGCCTATCTCTCCTCCTCCCGTGTCTCCATCTTCTTACTTCGCTATCCCACCCGGACTCAACCCGGCTGAGCTTTTGGACTCTCCTGTTTTGTTTAACTCTTCTAACGTAAGCATCAGAAATGGAATTATATGTTTTTTTTTTCTCTTCTTCTGTTGCTGATAAGGTGCTTTGATTGATGGGTGTTTCTTATATTTTTGTTTTACGTACAGATTCTTCCATCTCCTACCACTGGAACATTTCCACCTCAAGCTTTCTTCAACTGGAAACCCAGTTCTGGAAATAACCAGCTGAACGTCAAACGTGAAGACAACAACGATTTCTCTTCCCAAACTGAGTCCAACACGATTCAAACTGTATGTAATCATTTTTCAAAGCAATTCTTTTTTTTTTTTGAACATTTTTCATTGAATTTATTTATTCAGATGCAGAGCTTCTCCCCTGAGATTGCCAACATTCAAAGTAACTCCCAAAGCTTCCAATCAGATTACGGAAATCACCAGCAGCAAAGAGGGAACCGAAAATCCGATGATGGTTACAATTGGAGGAAATATGGGCAAAAGCAAATGAAAGGAAGCGAGAATCCAAGAAGTTACTACAAGTGCACGTACCAAAATTGCCCAACGAAGAAGAAAGTTGAGACTTCCTTAGACGGGCAGATAACTGAGATAGTTTACAAGGGTAGCCATAACCATCCTAAGCCTCAGTCCACTAGACGATCGTCGGCATCGTCTTCGATTGCTATTCAGACTTCGAGTGCTGTTAGCTCTGAGATCAACGATCGTTCACTTATAACTCATGGCAGTAGACATATGGATTCCGTTAAAACACCTGAGAATTCCTCTATATCAATTGGGGATGATGATTTTGAGGATTCCCAGAAGAGCAAATCCGGAGGAGATGAGTTTGATGAAGATGAACCAGAGGCCAAAAGATGGTATGTTTCGTTTTAGCAATTTTTTTTTGTTATTATAAATAAAATAACATTATGATTACTTGTTTCCAGGAGGAGTGAATGTGAAAATGAAGGAATCTCAGCAGCTGGGAGTAGAACTGTGAAGGAACCAAGAGTTGTGGTTCAAACAACCAGTGAGATTGATATTTTGGACGATGGATATAGATGGAGAAAATATGGGCAGAAAGTGGTGAAGGGCAATCCAAATCCAAGGTAAATTTCAGCTTCATTAAGCTCTATACCATTAATTTATTGGTTTTGTTTGTTGTTCTAACTGGAAATGCTTACAGGAGCTACTACAAGTGCACATATGTAGGATGTTCGGTGAGAAAGCATGTGGAGCGAGCCTCACATGATCTTAGAGCAGTGATCACAGCCTATGAAGGGAAGCACAGCCACGATGTCCCGTCGGCTCGTGGAGGCGGCAACCATTCGATCAATAGGGTTTTACCGAGCAACAACAATGGGGCAATGGCAATAAGGCCATCAGCTGTTAACAACACTCGGGCATCAGCAGCCGAAGGCGAATCTCCCTTCATGCTGGAGATGTTGCAGGGCACCGAAACTTCGGGTTCTCAGGATTCGGGAACATTATGAATCGGCAACATGATGGAAACAATGTGTTCTCAAGAACCAAGGAAGAACCAAGAGATGAAGCGTTCATCGAGTCATTGCTATACTGAAATCAATCTACCAGGGGAAATTGAAGGTTTTGGGATCAAGTATAGAACAGAAGAGAGTGAAGAAAATGATAAGAACAAGGAGCTCAGGTTAATTTAATTAATTGCATTCTGTTTGTTTGTTGTATATTCCACAAGATTGGTTTGTATTTAGAAGGGCAATGCCTATTGGAGCCTGTAATAGTACATCGGCATACTATTTTTTTTATTGTTTTGAGGCCACTCTCTTGGGGTAGACATGAACATGTGAGAGCCTCAAATCATTTCATTTTTTTTGAATCACACATGACACCATGCCAGTGATCCATTTTCCTTTCTCATAAAAAAACTCTGTTGAAAAAGGTTGAATTGAATATTGGTGGAAGATGGTACAATGTCCAAAAAAAATCTTTAATATTTAATTTAATTCTTATTTTTTTTTTAAATATTTTGGTTTAAAATATTTTAATGTAGATGAATTGTTAATTAAGATTTTTTGTTGTTCAAAATAAATTGTTAGTTAACAATTTTATTTTAAATAACATTTTAGTCCAAAATATTTTATTTTAGATGAAATGGTTAGTTAATCAATAATCAACGGTTATCGTTGATGTAGTAGTTTTATGTATCCAAAGTGATGATATAATACATATCATATGTTTAAAGTGATGATATAATATATGTAATGTGTTTAAAATAATAATGTGACACATCATATGTTTATAAATATGATGTAGTACATGTTATATGATATAAGTAATGATGTGACGCATATTAATTATATATAAATAATTACGTAATACATGTTACGTATTCAAAATGATAATATAACACATGTCACGCTATCATTTTGAAGTCATAAAACTTATCGTTTTAAATAAAATAACATTTATTTATCTCATTAATGATCATTTTATTCAAATTAAAACGTTAGAGATATTTTTTAATTTTACGTCTAAAAAGATATTAAAATTTTATAAAATGTGAGTAGCCTTGTCCCAATTATGACGAGGGTTTTCCTCAAATGTAATTGGGCACCTCTTGATATCCATTGTTAAGTTAATAGTTGAATCGTCATCAGTTAGAGGAGCAGAGAAAGTTGGAACGGGTCAAAAACGAGGAGGTTGGGGATATTTTGGTCAATGTCAACTTGCATTACAGTCAAATTACAGATGTATGGTTCCGTCCCAAGGAATGTAGACATTCGAGAAAGGGCAAATTAGGGACATCATAAAATTATAGGAAAGAAGTTTCCTTTTGTGTGTAGTGGTGGTGGTCGAGCTTGATCCTTTCATCAGCCTTTGTGACTTATATTAATCAACCATGTAATGGAAAATTTTACGACTCACGTTGTATATAGTAATATATCATTAAAATAATGCATAAAAATATATTATTAATTAAATTATTTTTATTAAATAAATATTAAAAATGATAAATTATAGTTTTGTAATTAAATTATCATTATTGTTTAATTTTAGTATTAAACTTTAATTTTTCATTGAAGGTAATGATTATGAGACATGATATGTCATTTTTTTAATTTTTAATTATCACATTATTTTTTATTACTTTTAATTAATTTTATTTAACCAATTAGGGGTGACATGTGTCACCGCTTATGAGATAAAAAGATAAAAATATTCTATCTCCTATTATGAATTGATATTGAGTATCTTACATGATAAACAAATCACTCAACCATTGAGCTAAACTAGTTGTCTAAATAAATTTCACCACATTTTGAATTTAACTTATATAACATATCATAACAAAATCAATAATTTTCTATGATTATAAGATTTTAAATTTAGGACATTTTAAATTAATCACCGAAAACTTAGTCACTCAACTATAGTGTGGATTTTTTTATTATACTAAACTTAATACTTACTTATATCATTATTAAATTAAAAATTAAAATTTTATTTTATTTAGAAATAAAAAATAATTAAATAATGCATATATTTTATAAAAAGTATATGAAATAATTATAAAAAAAGTATGTTTATAGTATTATAATTTTTTTTAAAAATTCAGTTAATTATTTATTTGAAATAATATTATTTTTAAAATATCTATTTAATTTTAAATAATTTAAATTTAGGGTAAATCATACATTTACTATTTTGTTGCGATGTGTGAGTGCTAAAATTGAACGCAAAATATGTGCAAGTGTACACTATTGAGCAAGTAATATAGTAGTGAGTGAGTATCGTCTCCACATAGCTTGGAGGGATTTTTTAGTAAAGATATAACAAACGAGTGTCACTAAATACATATATATTGTCACGGGGCTAGACTTCTGCTAGCAGATTCATGCGACACTTAGACGATTTCTAAGTTGAAAAGGCGCTTAAGTTAACCTTTACCACGTCTTTGTGAGACTCGGGCTCACAAAGTGACACACTAACTCGCTAGGGTTAGACCAACGATGCAGAAGCTAAACACCAATTGGGATAATCCAAACCACCAAGGTTGAACAACTCTTGGAAGCACAAGTACTGTCGAAACTCTCTAAGTCACAAAGACTTAACCACTTTGGAACTCTAAAAGAATTATGGGGAAATAAGCACTCTCGAGACTACTCGGTCTTCACGATCGGCAACACAATCCACAAAGGCTTAAGCACAAGAGAAACAAGCCAACAGGCTAGAAAAACTAGAAACAAATGCAACAAGGAAACAAGAAAGAATTCAAGAGTAAATGCATGAGTTTATTACTCTCTCAATAGAAGATTTCTAATGGATAATTACAAATGAGAGGTTGAGCTCTATATTTATAGTTAAGACCCTAAAAAACCAACGATCTAAATCAACTACATCAATGACTTACATTTAATCTAACCTTATCAAAACTCTATCTAAGGAATCTAAATTCAAAAACATTATCTCTTTAAGTATTTATATGCTTAAATTAAAAGATAATCATATCCATTATGGAACCTTCCAAGGAGCGGACCAAGTTTGATGGTTATGGGTAAACCCAATACTCTGCATAACTCTTCTACCGAAATCTGCGCATATGACTCCATCAAATCCACGAGTCTTGACAAATTTGCCTCCATAAAACATGTAACACCCTCATCACTTCTCCCGATTGGCTTTAGAATTGATCTTTCACAGACTCGTAAGTATTATTCAAGAATTGGGCCAAAGTAAGCTTAGCCTGTGACAAGACTAAGCCTCCACACACAAAACCCCTTTTTTGAGCAATTATGCCAATGCCTCAGACCCTAAAACACAACCAATAACAATATATATGTAATGGTTGTAGACACCCATTTTGTTCGGGTTCTCATTTGCTTATTTATTATTATTATTATTATTATTATTATTATTATTATTATTATTATTATTATTTAGGTTACAACCAGCCCACCAGAAACTGACTCATTACAAAGACAATAAGACCTACAGGCCTGATCCAGATTACAATAAATCAACCCAACCCAAATATCCAACCCATGCCTGAGACCCCAAAGCCTATTAAGGTTTTCATCTCAAGTTCCAACCGCATCCAGCTCTCCACCATTAGATCCGATGACTATCAAGGGTCTAGATCGCTTCAGATTAGAATAAGCAAAAGAAACCATAGATAGAGATTTCAACCACCACCGCCGTCAGTAATGAACAACCATCGATTGACCACCCAATCGGCGCGTGAATCCCACCGTTCATCTCCCCGCTCACGTACGCCGTCACTGATGAATCCCCGATCACTTTTTTCATCAACAATGATAGAAAACTGCACCAAATCAATCAAACAATAAAAAATATTTATGTATATCCACTTGATAGCAGCAAAATCCCAAGGCAAATCTGACCTATCACAAGCTAAAATAGGGCACTCAAGCTCTATATTCTTGGTAGCAACTAATGATCTCACCAGAAATCTATCATAAATGAGCATGCTACCATTTTTCAGAGGAGAGACAGAGAAAGCAAGGGGGAGTATCCGGGGGGAAACCAAAAAAAATTAGAGAACAAGAAAACCAGATCGAACGAAAAAAAACACCGAAGGAAAATATATTAGTTATATATTCGAACAACAAGAGAAAAGAAGAAGAAGAAAATAACCCAGACAACTTACCTTGCATCAAATCTTGTCGTCGGTAGCCCCATTGGAGTAAAGAGAACCAACCACCAAAGGTAAAACCTTTTTTTTAGATATATAGGTTTTCGGGGGGGGTCATATTTTTTAGTAGTGAAAGGGTTGGTTTTCCAAAAAAAAAAATAGGGGAGACCAAGGGTTTTTGTCGTTTGGTTTCTCATGTCATCGTCGCCGATTTACGACGGTTATAGCTCTCAAAGCTTCCTCACGGAAGAGGAGTGAAGAGAGAAATAGAGGAGAGTTGCGAGAGTTTCTCTCTCTTCTCTCTCTCTTTCGGGGTTAAACAGAGAAAATGAAGGGGAAGGTTGATTTTTGGCTTAAGTGGTAGCCATATATACCCTCCCCGAACGATGTTGTTTCAAAAAGAAGGGACCGTGTGTTTTGTGAATATAGTGTAATTGCAGTTTAGGTCCCTCCATGTTTGTAATGTTTTGTTATTGGTCATTAATGAAATTTAGAACTCTTTGAATTCGTGCCTCACGTTTATTCTTCATTATATTTTTATCCTAACCTATGTGTTAATGTTTACGATAATATTTGTAACATCCTCAATACCGGGTTAGTATCAAATTGTAAAGTTTCAGAATTTGGTGACTAGAGTAGAACCATGAATTAATTCAATGATTTATTTGGAAATAAATCATAAAAGTTGTTAGTAATTATAAGATGAATTGAAGGGCAAAGGGTCATTTGACAATGAAGATTTTTATTTTCCTTATAAGATAGGAAATCACGTGGAAGAGAGAAAAGGTTCCAGAGTTCTCTTCTCTTCTCTTATTCCTTCTTCATTCTTCATACGTGAAGGCTTGACTCAACTG